CTTTCGTTACCTCACATGTATGCCTTTTAAATCTCCTTTGCAGAGATTTGGGTGTAAACCTGTTTCCAGTTGAGAAAGCTAAGCTGTGGAACCACAAACCTAAAAATAAAACTTTGTGTGAGATTTACTAAGCCTTTTATGGCTCTGGTTTGCAATGCCTTAGTCCAAATGAGCATCACTACTATGCTTATTGAACGGAACAGAGGTCAATGAGAAGTTTAACACAAACAGCACCCTCTAGAAGACTAGATCTTGTGCACTTTACACTATTAGCAGGCATAGTGATTGACGTTATCTGCAAATAAAAGACAACAATCCCAGTCAGCATAAAGTTCTGTAACAACTGATGCTACATATTCACATGTTGTGCACTGTACCTGTGATGGCGTGGTGGGAGAAGGCCTCTACATAGGTCAGGTAGTTGTGTGGACAGTGTTTTTTAAGCCACTTGCAGACATCCTGCTGAGTCCACAGCACCACTGGTTTGGACAGACTGGACAGTGTAGGACTGGTGTGGTACACAGTGAACGCTTCACCTGGACGTAACTGAAGAACACACACAGGAAGCAGTTTGTCAATGTGCATATTGTACAATAGTGTGCAAAAGTCTTGGATTTCTTTATACTTTGCTGGTTTTGAGAAGTAGTTCTCAGGATTTCTGAAGCTTTTTCAAACTTTGCCTATGTAGATTGGCTGCTTTTTCACCCATTTTCAGTCAAGTCCTTGCGCTTGACCATTTTTAGAGGAATGTTATTTGTGTTTGTATGTTAAGCTGCCATGAACATGAGGTTTTTATGCCTGTGATTTGGTGTTTATTTTGTGAATCTTACATCTTGTGTTTGGCAATTTTTTCCTCATAATTTCTATTTATGTCGGGTGTTTGTTTTATTTTTTTTGTTTCAGATTGGTATGGACTTACCAGTCTACTTAAACAGTTTGCTTTTTGTTTGTGCTCTCTCTCTTTCCACCTTTGCCTTTAGGTCCTCACTACATCACTCTTCAGCATGACACTTAACACTAACCTATGAATCATTTAAGCACAAAAACACAACAAAATCCAGGGATGGACCAGTGTTATGTATATAGAAACCAGACAGCTAACAATGGAACCAATTATAAATCACGTTCCTACTTGCAGTCTGCCACAAAAACATAAAATTTGTTTCTATTTCTTTTGTTGAATCTATGAATCTACATGATGTGCAGTGTTTCCTTAAAACTGAACAACTGGAGAACAAAAGAATAAGCGGCAGGCATAAAAAAACTACAGCAGATGAGCAGTATCTGACAGTCATGTCCTTAAGAAATAGGAAAACAATCCTTTAAAGATCTGACACAGGACACATCTGGCCCTTCAGCTGATCCATCTACTCTTCACTGAAGCCTCAGTCTCAGTGGAAGAGTGAAGGGAAGGGAAACAGGGAGAAAAGGCTGGGGTATGTGAAATTACACAAAAATCAGTGACAATAGCTTATAGTGTGATGAATCAAAATCTCTAGTTTGTAGTTCATATTGTATGAATGATATCAGATTTAACAATGAGTATCTACAGCCATCTCTAAAACACAGCTCAGTTGAATTTTACAAAAATATGCTGTATTTCCCATGTTTATATGTAAATTGCTGCACCAATTTTCCATTTTTTAAAAACCAGCTGTGGCTTCACACTTTCGCACATGTATGTGAGCAGACAGTAAGACGACACCAGTGAGTCTACAGGGAGTGCAGAATTTTTAGGCAAGTTGTATTTTTGAGGAATAATTTTATTATTGAACAACAACCATGTTCTCAATGAACCCAAAAAACTCATTAATATCAAAGCTGAATGTTTTT